AAAATAATTAATTTTGAATTTCTACGTGAAGATGAGAGTTCAGAAACTAAACAGTGGAAAATTCGTTGATTGAACTTTGCACGATTGCAGTTCCCTTTTGTGAATAATTCTAGTGGGTTTTGTGAGAGTTAATTTAATAGTTCAGAAAAAATTTGCTGAATGGAATTACATTTGAAATTTTCAAGTTCAACTACTCAGTTTTATATTTCAGCTCATTTCTAGGTTCTATGTAGGTTTTGATATTCCCTTCCTATTTGGTCATAAGATTCTTGGCATATCCAGGGTCCTTGAGAGTTCTTCAAATGCTCACATGTTGACACTCTTGGAATTGAAATGATGAGATAATTTTTGTGCCGTGTGTAGTTTAGCTAAATGTGTTCCAGGTTCATGTTATTGTGTGTAGTTTGTTATATGTTATTGAAATGATGTACGGTTAGATGTGACTACGGGCTTATGAGATGTGATGGTGGAATTTTCAAGGATGTGATTCCATAATTTTCGTCGAATTCTACTTCTCAAATAAGCGATGACTTGCCTTAACTTATTATTGAATATATTGAAAATGTTTGAANAAATGTGTGGTTGAAAAAGAAGAAAAAATTATTGATGCGATGGAAAATATTATTTTATTGAAGAATGTGTGATTGAAAATGAGAATTGATTTACTGTAGAATTTTGAGAATCCCTCCCAAACAGGGCCTTAATTAACAATTCCTTGAAAAACAAGTTCCAGACAATTATTTTCTCTGAAATTCATTATCTTTCCATCCATTTTTCATCCTTACAATCAAACGGACCCTAAGTAAAACATATTTTTATCTTCATGCATCAAAATAACTTACTTTTTAATAAAAAAAAATACGTTGTAAGGGTAACTATAACTTTACTGTAGATAAAGTAACTTAATTAACTAAAAAATATTTGATAAAAGCTTACTTATGAGTTGACATTTTAAGATTAGCCGAATATTCTTAATATGGTCATATTGCTGGTAATTTGGTCCTAAATGCTAAGATGATGACACCTAGTTTAAAGGCGGGTCATGTATCATTATAAGAAGTTGGATTTTATTGTTAGATATGTACGTCTAACATGACATTTTCCCCTGTGCGAAGGAAATCTGTGCATTGATGGGAAATGTAATGATGGGGGAATCAATGGTGTAAATCATGTTATGAAAGAGTGTAATACATATTATAACCAACGTATCTGTAGGAGTTTTGTTGTAGGTTATTGGTTTCTTGCTACTTAGAGGTCTCGCTTGCTTTCCACGTGCCTCATTTGACGACTACCTAGTATTATATTTCACCAACTCCTTGACTTTGCAAATGCGCATGGTCTTCACATAAAGACCACTTTGGGCAAGCCTCACCTATTGAGAAACCTCTTGTAAGTTAGGATGGGGACGGGATATGACAGGATCATGACAGTCCTCCGCTCCCATCAAATATTTTTGTCTCATTGCCCCGTCCTAATAACCAATTAGGGCGGGACTGGCTCTCCCGCCCTGTTTATTACCCCCATTTATTTTTTTCTTAATTTTTTTGCTTATATTTTTAGTTGTAGAAAAAACAATATTTCCTCTAAAAATAGCTATGATTATTTTCTTTTTGTATAATGAAAATTTATTATTTTAAAATGAAATTTAAACGGAACAAGTGACGAGGTGAGGAACATGTTCTCCATACTCGCCCGCCTCCCTCTACTGAGCAACAACCCCCGCCTCATCCTTGCTCCCCGTGTACTCGAATAGGCAAGGAATCAACCCGCGAAATCAGTACAAGTAGGGATGCTAGCAAATCAACCATGTAGATACACAAAATATGGCAAAAGTCACTCATCATAATGTTAAGGTATCGGACATAATGGATTTTTTTGTCATCCATACTTGCCGTTCAAGTTGAGGTGATGAATGCCAAGAGCTTCGGTAGGCAAGGACCAATTGGTGAAGTTTCCCAAATTTTTATGTCATGATAACTTGGTATTTGAAGTGTAGGGTCCATGACTTTATGTAGCCCTTGTTTGGTAAAAATTTAAATTAAAATTTAAATTTAAATCAAAGTCAACAATTAACTTTAATCACACATTTAATGAGATACACAACTTTTGAATCACACATTACCCGGTTAGGGGCCTTAGGGAAGGGCGGGCTCCCTACCATGTTTATTGTCCCATTTATTTTTTCTTAATTTTTTAAAAAAAATTTTGCTTTTATTTTTTTAAATATTTTTAGTTGGTGAAAATCATTACTTTTTTTTTCAAATTGTAGAAAAATCATTATTTCCTGCAAAAATGGTGATGCTTATTTTATCTGTATGATGAAAAATTTATATTTTGAAATGAACTTTAAACGGGACAAGTGACAAGGCGAGGAACATGTTCTTCGTACCCACCCGCCTCCCTCTTCGGAGCAACAATCTCCATCCCATCTCTACCCCTTGTGTACTCGATTAGGCAGGGAATCGTCCTGTAAAATCAATACAAATAGTGGGATGCTGACCAATCAACCATATAGACACACATAATATAGCAAAGTCACTCATCAGAACATTAGGGTATCAGGCATAATGGATTTTTTTGTCATTCCTACCCACCATTCAAATTGAGGTGACGAATCTTGAGAGCTTCGGCACGCAAGGGCTAATTGGTGAAGTTTCCCAAATTTTTATGCCATGATAACTTGGTATTTGAAGTGTAGGGTCTATGACTTTATATAGCCCACGTTTGGTAAAAATTAAAATAAAAATTTTAATTCAAGTCAAAATCAACAATTAATTTTAACCATACATTCCATGTCACCACACAACTTTTCAACCTTACATTTCATAGTTTCTATCAAAATCTACTAAAAATCTGATATTAATCCTCCAACAAATAGGGGCTTGACAAAGAAACCACCCTCTTGATCCCTAAATATTCATTGTAGAATCTTTTGTCATGACTCATGAGAAGAAATATGAGAGTAATCGCTAGTTAGGTAACTCTATATGTTAAGGAACACTATCATCTCTGCGTGTCTCTCTCATCTCTTTGTTCTTATATTTGTTAGTATTTCACTTGATCGTCGATAAGGGTAGGAAGTAGGGTGAGCTGTTCGTCGATCCAACTATCCAACTAACGAGTCAAGTAGTGTTTCTATGAAATGAGCTGGCTTGTCCAGCTAGCTTATAAGCGAGCCTATGAGCGGCTCATTTCTTGACTAGCGAGCCGAGCTTGTTTTCGACTTGTGAGCGAGCCTATAGATAAAGAATGCGGGCCCAGCATGTATAGTTTTTCAGTTGTGCATGCTTCTAATCAATGGTAAATCATAGAGGCTATCTCTCTTTGAGAAATAAAAAATGGGATTAAATTCCAATTTCCAATTCCAATTTATTTTTTTTCCCTTCCAATTTTTGCCTATAAATAGGCATTCTTCCAGGAAGTAATTCCTCACACTTCAATTTCCTTTCGCATTTCATCTTCTTCGTTACTTTATGTGTCATCTCTTATTCATTTGTAATAGTAAGATTTTATTCAAGTGCTTGTAATGATTATAGGCACGGTCCTGAGGCGAGGCGGATGAGGCCTGCGCCTCAGGCCCAAAACTGGAGGGCCCTCATTTTTTGCCCAAGTTTTTTTTTCATTCCTTCATCCTAAATTAATCAAATGGAAATTTTCATTCTCTCCTTCCCTTCAACTCCAACCGTTGTGACTCCAACTCCGGTCTCTCCTTCCCTTTTTTCCTCCAGCTCTTCCATTTTCCTTCACTCTTTCACAAATCACAATTCACAAAATTCACATTTCAAAATAATAGAGAAAAAATCACTCGACCCTTTTTTCAAACCTAACCGCACGAGTTGCTAGTCGAGGTTGACCATCGACTGGTTGTTACTATGCTTCTGTTGGTACTTCCGCCAGTTTCATAGACCTTGGATTAACTACAGCCAGTTTGATAACGATGGTGATGAGTCCGATTCTAAGCAACTAGTTTTTTTGTTGTTGTTGTTGTTACTCAACGTACAACTCCGGTCTTCTCTCCTCTGAAGTAGAATCAACATAATCTGAATAACAGAAGCACACAAATATTGTAATTAAGAATTCAATTTACACCTTCCTGAAAATAGCACATTTTTACATATTATACGAAAAACTTCAACCTAAAAGGCAAAAATAAGTGATCTTTTTTTCCACAATTACTTGAATTAAGGGGCTTTTGCGGCGGTAATTTGCCTTCTAATCTTTCAATTCGGAAAGTGATGGGGAGATTGATGTCGCAGGATAAATTAAAAAAAAAAAGAACTCGTTTCCAGTCATTTTGGCTTATAATTATTATCCAAAATAATTAATTTTGAATTTCTACATGAAGATGAGAGTTCAGAAACTGAACAGTGGAAAATTCGTTGATTGAACTTTGCACGATTGCAGTTCCCTTTTGTGAATAATTCTAGTGGGTTTTGTGAGAGTTAATTAAATCGTTCAGAAAAAATTTGCTGAATGGAATTACATTTGAAATTTTCAAGTTCAACTACTCAGTTTTATATTTAAGCTCCTTTCTAGGTTCTATGTAGGTTTTGATATTCCCTTCCTATTTGGTCATAAGATTCTTGGCATATCCAGAGTCCTTGAGAGTTCTTCAAATGCTCACATGTTGACACTCTTGGAATTTAAATGATGAGATAATTTTTGTGCCGTGTGTAGTTTAGCTAAATGTGTTCCAGGTTCATGTTATTGTGTGTAGTTTGTTATATGTTATTGAAATGATGCACGGTTAGATGTGACTACGGGCTTATGAGATGTGATGGTGGAATTTTCAAGAATGTGATTCCATAATTTTCGTCGAATTCTACTTCTCAAATAAGCGATGACTTGCCTTAACTTATTATTGAATATATTGAAAATGTTTGAA